AAGAATAGAGCATTTATTCATGCCTTCTGTCTCAGTCTGTTTTGTGCTGCTATAACTAGGTAATTTTTCGGTATTTACATTTTATTTATTATTTATTTATTTTAATTTGACCCAAGAGAGATATACAGAGAAAGAAGAGGGAAAGTGAGAAAGCAAGCCACCAGGTCCGGGACTTGAACCGAGGTCGGCCATGTGGGAATGTCCAAACCGCCTTAACTACCACACCACCTGCCAGCCCCAGACTAGGTAATTTGTAATGAACAAAAATGCTATAATGAATGGAAATTTAATAATGCACTTTATTAGCTCTCAGTTCTTGGAGGCTGGGAAGCCCAAGATTGTGGGGCTGGCACGGGTGAGGGTCTTCTTTCTGGGGCATCTCATGATGGCGGGCATCCTATGTTGAGATGGCACAGAGTAGATAAGAGACAAACCCACTTCTGTAATAATGGCAATAGTCCATTTGTGGGCATGGAGTCCTCAGACTGAAATACTTGTTAAAGGTCCCACCTCCCAAGACCTTCATGATGGCAGTTAAATTTCAACATGAGTGGGACCAGCAGATGCCATAATGGTTATGTCGCAGGATTCCCAAGTGGACAACAGTTCTAGTCTGGAACCTGGCAGCCTAAAACACACACTGGGCACATGTGCATGTATGCCCAGAATCCCACGAGGAGATGGAAGAGAAGAGGTTGTGGCTTGGCCATTCCCCTTGGGGGGTGATTTCTTGCTTTCTGTCTCTCATTCTCTCTCTGCCTCTCCAGCAAGCGCATGTGTCCTATAGTAAAAATCTCTCTTAAAATTTTTTTTCAAACAAAAACATTCAAACCGTAGCACCTTCTCTTTGCATTTCTTTTAAGAAGTCATTGAACTGACCACCCCCCCACCCCCGCTTTTAAGTTTATTTATTTCTTCCATGAGCAAGAGAGAGCCAGAGAGACAGCTCCCCAAGTGTCTTGATGTCACGATCTTTCCCCAGCTTCAGCCAGCCCTGGATCATGTTTGTGCCAGGTGTACTCAGGGAGGTCTCCAGATGCGAACCTAGAACCTTCCCATGTGGGTCATTGTATCTGACTGCTGCACCACCATCACTGTGTACTTTATTCCCATTTGTCCTTATCTTGAAAGAGGAATACCGTGAGTTCAGGGTGGTTTGTAGTAATAATAGTAGTCACATAGATTGAGCACTTACTATGTGCCGGGCCGTGTTCTAAGCTCTTTACACTTATTGTTTTGTGGACTCGCATGACAAACTGAGACATAGAGTCTGTCATCACTGTCATTTAGTCAATAAGGAAAATTCAGTAAGGCAGGTTAAAGAGTTGACCCAAAGTTCCACTGCGAGTGACTAGTGGACAAGGGTTCCTGCGTAAGATACTGTTGTCTTCTTCTTTGTGCTCTGTAGAGTTTTTTTTTTTTTTTTTTTAGGGGTTTTTGCTATAGGCCGTGTACCTCCCCCAAAAAAGATGAGGGGTGTACACTCGCCAGAAAGACAGAGAGAGACAGAGACAGAAAGTGAGAAATCACCCCCCCAGGGCAGATGGCCATGCTGCAATCCCTTCTCCTCCATTCTCCTCTCGGGATCGTGGGCATGCACGCACATGGGCCCGGTATGAGAATAAGCCACCAGGTCCAGGACTTGAACCACAGTCATATATGGGAGTCCAGCAACATAGCCATTATGCCAAGTGCTAGTCCCCTCTGTAGTTTTTTATGTACAGTTGATAAGCATATTCTTTTTATTTTGGGCAAAAAAATGATTGCAGCCTATTGTCTCTAACCTTATAATAATATGTCTGTATGTAATCTAAAGAAATTGTAATTCATTTATTCCTACCAAAACTATAAAGTTAAATCTTAAAATCTTATTCGTACTGAAGCATAATTTAATAAGAAACAAGTTATTGGGGTTTGGATTTCTATGACATTTCCTTATGCTATGTTCTTACACATTATGACATTATTTTTCAAATGTAATTATATATGTATATGTGTATAATATGAATATAATAACTACAAGGGGCGCTTCAAAAAGCTTATGGAAAATGCATATTATGAAAAAACAAAGCATGAATTAAAAAATAATTTGCACCAAAATAAACTCAACTTTAGGATCAGCAGATGGCATAGCAGTTACATCACTGGACTCCCACATGGCTGACTGTGGTTCAGGTCCTGGCACGTGTGCGTGTATGCCCAAGATCCTGGGAGGAGAATAGAGGAAAAGGGGTTGTGATGTGGCCATCGCCCTTGGGGGGTGATTTCTCACTTCCCTTCTCACCACATCTGTTTCTCTCTCCCTCTGGCAAACACTCATGCCCTAGGGCAAAACCTCTAATAAATAAATAAATAAACTCAATTTCATTTTCCATGAACTGTTTTGTTTTTAGATTTTTTTGCCATAGGGCAGGTGTACTCACTAGAAAGAGAAGGAAACAGGGAAAGTGAGAACTCATTCCATGGGGGCTGGCCATGCTGCAGTCCCTTCTCTTCAAGTCTTGTCTTGGGGTTTTCGTCGTGTTTATGCACTTGCCCAGCATAATTTTCAGGCTGGCAGGTCTGGATTCCAACACACAGTTGGCCGTGTGGGTCCCAGTGCCTTAACTTCCATGCCACCTGCCTGCCCAGTGGTAAACATTTCTTTTTCTTTTTTTTTTTTTTTTTTTTTTTTTTGGAGTGGTTTGTGGCGCTCGCCAGACAGAGCAGAGAGAGGCAGAGAGAGACAGAGAGACAGAAAGTGAGAAATCACCCCCCGGAGGGATGGCCATGCTACAATCCCTTCTCCATTCTCCTTTCGGGATCTTGGGCACGCACGCACATGCTCCTGGCCTCTGAGTTTAAGCCACCAGGTCTGGGACTTGAACAACAGTCGACTATGTGGGAGTCCAGCAACATAGCCATTACGCTAACTGCTGGTCCCGCCCAGTGTTAAACATTTCTATTAGCTGTGCATTCAAAAACTTCTGTATGTTCATACCTCAAGAGAAAGAAATCAGAATGGGCTTTAAAGGAATGTGATATCCTTCAGTATCTTTTTTTAAAATTATTTTTATTTCACTTTATTTATTTATTTGTTTGTTTATTTTAATTTGACCAGAGAAGGACAGAGCAAGATAGAGAAAGTGAGAAAGCAAGCCACCAGGTTCAGGACTCAAACCATGGTCAGCCATGTGGGAGTGCAGCGCCCTTAACCACCAAGCCACCTGGCCCCTTTCGGTATCTTCTTTAGTTCTTTTTCCTATTTGTGTTTTATACTGCTTCTTACCCCAACACATACACCAAAGGGTACCAAGGTCCTAGACCCTGGAACAGGTGAATGTTGCTTTCTATGGCAAAAGAGATTTGGGGAGTCTGGATAGTGGCACAGAGGTAAAACATGATGCTCTGCAAGGCTGACGCACATGGCAGTATTGTAGGTTTGCCTCCGACCCTGAGTACACTGGGCACATGTACATGGGCACACATGATCTGGGCTAGCTGAGGCTGGGGTGGATTGTGGTGTTGAGACCTTGTTGGGGTACTATCTCTCACTCTCTCTTCATCTCTCTTGCTCATGAAAGAAGTAAAGAAACAAGCTTTCAAAATGACCTTTGGGAGTTCCCAATTGTTTGCTATGGGGTTCAGTAAATAGTACTCTGTTTTCCAGCAGTCAGTGGTGGTGGTGTTGGCAAGAGTGCCATTTGGAAACATGGAGAATTTTGGCAGGCTTAGTGGTGTTTGTTGTTGGAGATTGCCTTGGCATAATCTTAGGTGAAAGTGATGCCTGGGGTTTCTCACTGATTCATTTCCTCAGCATGGAATTCTGGATAAACTGTATCTCACTTGGTGGGTGGGTGGGCAGGAAGAACCCTGAAGACCTCATTACAGAGGAGTTTACCTCTTTGAAATTCCTTGCCGAGAGATTATTCTACACCATTTGGATTTCTTTCTCTTTAATCTGAACAGTTTTGGCTGCTGAAGGAACTAATTAGACAGAAAGAGATCTGGTATTTTTGGCACAGAGCTTTTCCCCCTGTGTCTAACTGCAGTAGTGCAGGCAATAGCATGTAGATCTGCAGTGCTGGAAGCCACATGGCTTCCCTTGTCAACCTGAAACACTGGCCTGGGGAACCCCAAATTCTGAGCCTGGGAGAGGTGGATTCAGACCCTTCACTCAATACAATAAAATTAAAATTAAAAAAGAGAAACTTGTTCTTCTGAAATTAATTGAATCCTAGAATTTTAGAGCTTGGAGGGATCTTGGAAGATCCATGCATCTCTGCTACTCGCTGGGTGAGGCTTGTCTTTCAGGTGGAAAGAGGGTGGGGCTTTTTGACATAAAGCGCAGTGCCCTTCCTGGTGTCTGGCAGAAGAAGAGACAAAGTAAGCTGGAGACTTGACACATTTTATCCACAGACCAGTCCGAGAAGACTTATTCCTACTACTGTGTGCTCCTGCAATCCCTTTTTTTTTGGAGAGGTTTTTGCTATAGGGCGCATGCGCTCGCCAGACAGAGAGACAGAGAGATAGAAAGCGAGAAATCACCCCCCCAGGGGGGATGGTCACGCCGCAATCCCTTCTCCTCCATTCTCCTCTCGGGATCTTGGGCACGCACATGTGCCCGGCGTGAGTTTTAAGCCACTGGGTCAGGGACGTGAACCGCGGTCAACTACGTGGGAGTCCAGCGACATAGCCATTACACTAACAGCTGGTCCTCTGCAATCCCTTTTGAGTATGCATCTTTCCACTAACTATATTTACCAGTTTATTACCAAGGATATCAACCCACTTGGAAATGTCAGTGGCTTAACACAACGAAGATTCATTTTCTGCCCACAGGTCATGTCCAGTCTCAGGGTGGAAGGTGTCTCTTTGCTCTACCCTGCAGTCACTCGGGGGCTCTGGCTGATAGAGGCCCCGCCATTCTGTAGCAAACCATCTATTCATAGAACACATGCCTTCCAGGTTGCCGTGGTAGGGAACAGAATTTACACCCACTCTTCTATGCTTCTGCCCAGAAATGATACTGTCTTTTGGCTTGTGGCTTATTTGTCAGAACTGGTCACATGACCCTGCCTAACGGTAAGGAGGCTAGAAATCTGGGGGAACACACGGGCTATTTGATGAGCACCAGGTTTTATGACCCTTGCGGTCTTCCAAGCCTCTAGATTCACGAAGCTTCCACTGTAACTTAGTGGAGACAGGGAAGCTGCCGCCAGCCACAGGGTAATAGAGTTCATGAGCAGAGCCACTGATACCACAGTGGGGAAATCAAGAGGCCAGCTGTGGCCTTTTGTGCTGATCTCGCTTAAATTACTTTTGCTGTGGGCTGTGTCTTCCTGGTTACTTTGTGTAGTAAGCTGAAAAATACTGTCCCTTCTCCCCTCCAAAAGATACCAAGGTCTTAGGCCCTGGAACTGGGCGAATGCTACCTTCTATGGCAAAGGAGATCGGCAGACACGGCTAAATTAAGGATGGTAAGGTGACAGGGAAAGAAGATTGCCTTTGACTATCAGGGTAGGTCCTAAATGCTCTCACATGTGTCCTTATAAGAAACAGTCAGGTGAGATTTCATAGAGACAAGAGGAAGGGACAGTAGGCCATAGAGGCAGAGATTGGAATGATGTGGCTGCAAGCCAAGAAATGCAGCAGGCACCAGGAGCTGAAAGAGGCAAGGAATGGATTCTCCTTTAGAGCCTTCTCTGAAGGGAGGGTGGCCCTGCCCTACCAATAGCTTGATTTTGGCTCAGCGAAAGTAAATTTAGACTTCTCAACTTTGGCTTCTGTGAGACCCAGAATTTATTTTCTTAATTATTTAATTGTATTTATTATTAGTAGTAGAAGTATTCAATTTGAGCAGAGAGAGACAGAGAAAGAGGGAGAGCGAGAAAGCAAGCCGCCAGGTCCAGGACCTGAACCACAGTCAGCTCTGTGCGAGTCCAGTGCCCCAACCATGCCACCTGCCAGTCCCGAGACCCAGAATATCTATGTGTCTGTGTTTTTTGTTTTTTGTTTTTTTTTCCCGTAGAAGATGTGAGCACTTGCCAGAGAGAGAAGGAGAGGGGAAAGCAGCCCTGGTGGGGAATGGTCACACCAGAATTCCTTCTCCATCTCTCCCTCCTTTCCAAATCTGGGCACAGATGCACATGTGCCCAGTGCATTTCTCAAGCCACCAGGTCTGGGACTAGAACCATGTGGTAGGCCATGTGGGATCCAGCTGTCCAAACCACTATGCCGTGGAGTGGGCCCAGTTTCTGTTGTCTCAAGCTACCAAGTTTGTGTAATTTTCTTACAGCAGCCACAGGAAACTCATGTACCTCGGTTGACAGTTTCCGGTGGTCAGTGGCTGTTACCCTAGTGACCAGTGCCCCGAGGAACTGGTGACTGGAGTGCTATGTTAGTGCTGATCCTCAGGATGCAGAGTGCATCTGTTACCTTTGTTTGTTAGGGTAAACCAAGGGGTGTGGGTCGCTGCTTTTCTTGTCCTACTAGATTCCTGTGCAGGCTTTCGTGGCAGGGCCGTGACAGGGCCACAGGAAGGGGATGAAGACTGGGGGCCTGGAGAGCTTGGATTCTGTTTAAACATTCTCCTATGTGGTCTCCCAGGAACAAAGGCAGCAAGTGGTACAGGGGTGAGACTAGACAAAATGCCACCCAGGATTCCAAGACGTAACCTCTGGGTTGGTATTAAATATTATGAACCATTCAAAATATTTCCACATAACCATATAAAACATCTCTATAAAATACTGACTTTTGCTTAGGAAAAATACGTTCTTTTGTGCATTTCTTATTTTAAAGACCTAGTTCAAGAGAGAGAGAGAGAGAGAGGTTCCCTCCTAAGAGTCTCATGCCACACTCCTCCTCTCTCCCCCGCATTCTCAGCCAGAATCACAGCATACATGCCTAGCTTGTGCATTTCTTTGTACAAAAAGTTTCTCCCCTCACAAGCTCCCATCGGTGGAATATGGGCTTAAGTAGTTCTCTTAGGAGGTGTGGGTTGTGTCGACCACCCATTACTCTGTTGTTGCTTTCCTCATGCTTGGTGGCAAGCGTTTTCAAAATACCTGGCGGGCTCTTTGAAATGTGACCCTGTGGAGGGAGCAAGCACATGGCGTAGTGGTTGTGTTGCTGGTCTCTCACATGGCTGACGGCAGTTTGAGTCTCAGACCCAGTGGCTTAAAAATTACTCTGGATGGGACCAGCAGATGGCATAGTGGCTACATCGCTGGACTCCCATGTATTTGACCACGTTCCAGTCCCAGACCCGGTGGCTTAAACTCACGCCGGGCATGAGTGTGCCCAAGATCCCGAGAGGAGAATGGAGGAGAAGGGATTGTGGCCCTCCCCCTCTGGGGAGGTGATTTCTCGCTTTCTGTCTCTCTGTCTCTCTCTGTCTTTCTGGCGAGCACACGCGCCCTATAAGAAATAAATCTCTACCAAAAAAAAAAAAATTGTTTTATTCTTCCCAGGTCTGGGACTTGAACCGTAGTCGACTACATGGGAGTCCAGCGACATAGCCATTACACCAACTGCTGGTCTCAATAAAACAATTCTTGAAAGAAAGAAAGAAAGAAAATCACACTGGGTGCATGTGCATGTGTGTCCAAAATCCTAGGAAAAGGAATTGCAGCATGGCCGTCTCCTCTAGGGGGTGATTTCTCACTTTCCGTATCTCCGTCTCTTCTGGCAAGCACACACACCCTATGGCAAAAGTCTAAAGAGAAAAAAGTGAACAAATAATTATGGAAAACAACCAGAATAGTGGTTTTGGGAAGATGATGGTGACCGTTGCTTCAGCATGGGAATCCTCAGCCTTTCCCCTCAGCTCTTTGCCTCCTGATGAGAATACGAGTGCAAACCTCAGAGCAGGCTCAGCACTCAGTGGAAGGGACCCGTCTTAGAGGACAAGATCTTAAATTCACTCTCATTTACCAAGGAGTAAAAAAACAGGGTATGTTCACTGTCTGTAGGAGCAAAATCCCTATCCCTGTCAACTGGTGTCATACTTGAGAGCCACTGCCCTCTGAAATACGAAAAGTGAAAACTGTGAAAACCGAAATTTCATATTGTGGCTAGCTAATTTCAAACCAGCAAATAGAGAGTTTTTTTTTTTTTTTTGATGTGTGTGTGTTTGTATGTGTGTGTTTATGATAAAGTGTGCACACACATGAGAGAGAAGCACCTTCAATAGGGTCTGGTCACACCGCCATCCCTTTCCTCTAGTCCTCCAGCCTGTTGGATCTTGGGCAGGTGCCTAGTGTGTTTCTGGCTGATCGGGTCAGGGATTTGAACCACTGTCACTATGTGGGATCTGGCTTCTCTCGAGCAGCGCATTAGCTTTATGTCACAGAGCCACCCAAGATAGGTTTCTTTCTTTCTTTCTTTTTTTTAAGAGTGTTACTAACAAGGGAATGCCAGGTGGTATGGTGATTAAGGTGTTGGACTCCCACCCAGCCTACTATGGTTTGAGTCTCAGACCTGGGGGTTTGCTTTCTCCCTTCCTTTTTTTTTCCCTCTCTGGTCAAATTTAAAAAACAGTAATAAGTAAAATCAAATAAATAAATCATTCTTTTTTAAAAAGAATATTAGTAACAAGTGAGAATATTAATTTTAATAGTATAATATGCAGTATAATACAAGAGGGTCTTTAAAAAGTTCATGGAAAGTGCATATTTTGAAAAATCTATACATGGATTTAAAAATATTCTGCACCAAAATAAACTCTTATTTTAAATCCATTTTCCCACAAACTTTTCAAAGTCCCCTTGTATAAATGAGATCATCTTTATCAAATTCAGTTTTCTCTGAACTTCAGTATTTGTCATTCTGTCGAGTCCTGGGTCTGATGTTGATAATGCCGTCTACTTTTTATGTTTTCTGGAAAAGTATGTCAGTGTAGTACTATCTGAAGAAATGTAAGAGCTATTAAAATGCTTAAAAGTAAAGTGATCAATTCTTCTTTTGTTCTCTTGACAGGATAATTGAAGCTATCTGCATAGGTTGGTTCACTGCCGAGTGCATCGTGAGGTTCATTGTCTCCAAAAACAAGTGTGAGTTTGTCAAGAGACCCCTGAACATCATTGATTTACTGGCAATCACACCGTATTACATCTCCGTGTTAATGACAGTATTTACAGGCGAGAACTCTCAACTCCAGAGGGCTGGAGTCACCTTGAGGGTGCTTAGGATGATGAGGATTTTTTGGGTGATTAAGCTTGCCCGTCACTTCATTGGTCTTCAGACACTTGGTTTGACACTCAAACGATGTTACCGAGAGATGGTTATGTTACTCGTCTTCATTTGTGTTGCCATGGCAATCTTTAGTGCACTTTCTCAGCTTCTGGAGCATGGGTTGGACCTGGAAACATCCAACAAGGACTTCGCCAGCATCCCTGCTGCCTGCTGGTGGGTGATCATCTCTATGACTACAGTTGGCTATGGAGATATGTATCCTATCACAGTGCCTGGAAGAATTCTTGGAGGAGTTTGTGTTGTCAGTGGAATTGTTCTGTTAGCATTACCCATCACTTTTATCTACCATAGCTTTGTGCAGTGTTATCATGAGCTCAAGTTTAGATCAGCTAGATATAGTAGGAGCCTCTCTGCCGAGTTCCTGAATTAATGCATTGCAAATCAGTTCTTACATACACTTTGTTTGATAGAAAGAGTTGACGCTGCTTCATATTCATGCGTTCCTTGCTGGGTGAGCACTACAGTGGTGTTGTCATCATTTTGGTAGAGTAAAATTTATCCTTCCCAGCGGAAGGGATAACACAGTTTACTTGTTCTGGAGTAAATAGGACTGAGACTGCAAAGGAGAGTAATGATAATGACTCCTAGAGTCAACCTTAGAACCTGATTTTATTTAGGCTTGTCTCCTCCTTGCCTTGAACAATTAGTGTTTTTTTTTTAAGTACATCATTTGAACATTTTAAAACAGAAACGTACTATTTTCCAAATGTTTCTCCATTTTATGAATTCAGAGAAACTTGGAACTTATAGTGTTTTTTGTTTGAGAATAACATTTTCATTTCTAAATGTTTTATAATTTCTCATATCAATGTCAGAAGTATCCTGGAAACATATGTCACATGCAGGAACTGTTTAACAAATACTCTAAAAATGTGGCCAAAATTTAAACTCTGTGATGCAGCTAGATACAAGCAGGAATAGTAGTTGAAAACTTACTCTATCATACGTCTCAACTCTCTGCTTAGTTTTTGTGCCTGTTATTTGCCTTCTCATACGGCTTCATGGAAGCTTGAGAATGTTCTCCCTTTTCTGTTTTGGGTTTCTTTCTTTCTTTCCTGACATAATTCAAAAACGCATTTAATAATGGAAGAGAGCTTGTGTTGTTTAACATTTTATTGGATAGTATATAATAGGAATTTATTGTTGTTCCCAGATGATAATTGTCCTAACATTTAGATGTCCAAACGAGAATATTTCCAACATAAAAATGTTAATAGAAATAGTCTCATATTATTCAATATTACAACATATATTTATCTTACGTTCTTTTCCCCCCAAACACCCTGGGTTTAATAAGACTTACCAGTTGAAAGGATATTTCTGCAGCCTTTTAATACCAAAGTCATACTTCTGTGTTATCACTGAATTATCATAAAAAAAGAAGAAATATTACTGTACCCTTAGTTGCTGTGTAGCTAAGTCCATTTTAAGCTTGCTAAAAGCAATGAATACATATTTATTTGATGTGATTCACCATTTTGAATCATGGCTATACCAAACTCTTCTTAGAAAAATATTGAATAATATGCTTTTAACCTGGCTAGATTATTAGGACTAAATCATATAGAAGTGATGGTCATTTGGTGCTGAATTTTAGCAATATAAGTTAGAATTTTACTTCTTCAACCAGTTACCATAAAGAAGTCGCATAAAGACACAGGTCGATGAAGAATGTGGTAACACTCATTTATCAGGGGTGAGGGGGAGAGGGGCTGGACAGTAGTGAGTGAGACAGGCGGCCCGGATGTATTTGTCAAAGAAGGGGTTACCGGAAGTGTTCATTAAAGGAATATGAGCCATTATCTTGTGTAAACCTTGACTATCACATGTCAAAAACCAGGGCAAGAAAGGATTTGATTGTGAGGGACTTGGGGTTAAAACCCGAATCTCTAGAAACCTTGCCTAGCAGCTTATTCTTGACGTACCTCTGAGTTGTGAAAAAAGCCTTGAGAAGTCACACTGCTTTATCCTTGTCACAGCTAAGGTCATAATAGCAAAACCATTTCCATTTCCCTAATTTCCTGTCCTAAGTTTATGTGATATTTTGCCCCCTGAAAAATCTCACCCTCTCTTCTGCTATTGTCCACTGGTATGCTACTTTTTACATACTCAAGCGTATTTATTGTATATTTATTGTATTTTAATATAATTGAAATAAATGGCATGGTTTATTTTTTCTTACCCATCTGGATCAAGGCTTTGTGATTCATACAAATAATGTGCAGATGATAGCACCTCCATTATGCTAATAAAACTATGTAACCGTCCATTCCACTGGCACTGAGAACTCTTCGTATGAGTGTGTCTTATCTCCTCAAGTGTCTTGAGAGGTGGGACCTTCCCTCATGCATGCATCTTCATATCCCCACAGTGTCTACTACAGACTCGAGCACAAGTCTGTTGACTGATTTGAGGGGAGAAATTTCTGTGAAGAGGTGAGGAGAGGCATGCATCTCTGTCTGTTTTCCTATAGCCTCACATGTAAACAGACAGACTCACAGATTGAACTGCTATTCGGTAACAAGTGAGAAATCGCTGTGGTTGACATCAGACTCTTCATAGAACCAGTTTTCATAAAGAGGCATGTTGAATATGTTTTTCTTTTTAAAGATTTATTTATTTATTTAATTCCAGTGTTGTTGGGGTTTTTTTAGACGATTTTTGCTATAGGGCCCATGTGTTCACCAGAGTCACACGGAGAGAGAAAAAGTGAGAAATCAGTCCCCTCTGGGGGGATGGCCACACTGCAGACCCTTTGTCTCCATTCTTCTCTCAGGATTTTGGGCACGCATGCATACATGCTTGGCATGAGTTTTAAGTCGCTGGGTCCGAGACTCAAAGCACTATAGACTACATGGAATCTAGCAACATAACCATTACGCCATCTGCTGGTCCCTATTACTATTATTTTTAAATTTGTCCAAAGAGAAAAAGGGGAAATGAGAAAGCAAGCTGCCACATCTGGACTCGAACCATGGTCAGCCATGTGGGAGTCCAGCACCTTAACCACCACGCCACTTGGTGGCCTCTGTTGAATAAATTCTAATGGGTAGCAGTTCAGCTACCCCTTCCTTAAAAAGGATGGGGACCAGCAGATAGTGTAATGTTTTCATTGTTGTACTCTCACATAGTCAATCACAGTTCGAGTCCTGGACCTGGTGGTTTAAAATGCATGCCAGGCATGTGTGCGTGCATGCCCCAAATCCCGAGGTCTCACTTTCTGTACCTCTGTCTCCAGTGAGCACACGCACCCATAGCAAACAATCTCTTTCTAAAAAAAAAGATGATGATGAGATAGAATAGAGTAGTTCATTCATAAGTGGAAAAAAAATGTATGTCAGAGTTTTGTCTTAAGGATACTGTAGTTTTTTATAACAGTGCATTTTCTTACCACCTTCCCTGAATGTTGCTGCTTAAAAAAGAAACCATTACTTAGCACTTCTTTCTCAGTTGTACTTTTAGACATTTCTCGTAACTCAGTTTTCATGGCAGAAAGGGTTCATTAAAATCTGTGTTAGTACCCTTAATACAGATACTATCCTTACTCAGAATACCCAAAGAGGAAAGAGCAAGCCAAATCCTTTGTTCTGATTTTACCTTATCTAAGCTTATATGACTTGATCTTGTATGTAACTTGTTTTGTATTCTCTAGTATGGGGCTTTTCAAAATCAGAAAAGCAACTTAATATATTTGAAGGTGAACATACTGAAACAAATCAGGACTTTATCTTTTTATCTTTTTTTTCTTCTTCTTTTTTTTACTATTGTATTGTCATTGTGGATTGCAATTGAAGCCGTTGGAGTTATTCTTAGTTTATTCTTAGTTAGTCTTAGTTACTTGTAACCCACACATTCATAATTTCTTTTTAATTGCCAGAGGGCATGTGTGCTTGCCAGAGAGGAGGAGAGGGATAAAGCACACATACACACACGCACATCCCCTATGGGGTATGGTTTCACCGTCATCTCTCCTCCATTTCTCCAGGCTGCTGGGATTAGGGGCATACATGCACATGGGTCTGCCATGTTTTTCAAGCCACCGAGGCCAGGATTTGAACTACTGTTGGCTGTGTGGCTGTGTGGGATCTTGCTCCTTTAACCACTAGGCTATGGGGCTGGCCCATAAAGTCTTTCTTTTTTTTTTGGAGAGGTTTTTGCTACAGGGCATATGCGCTCGCCAGACAGACAGAGAGAGACATAGAGACAGAAAGCGAGAAATCACCCCCCGGGGGCATGGTCATGCCACAATTCCTTCTCCTCCATTCTCTTCTCGGGATCTTGGGCACGCACGCACATGCGCCTGGCATGAGTTTAAGCCACCGGGTTCGGGACACGAACCGCGGTCGACTACGTGGGAGTCCAGCGACATAGCCATTATGCTAACTGCTGGTCCCCATAAATTCTTTCTTAAAAATGTTAAAATAGGGGCTGGCATGTGGTGTGGTGGGTAAGGGCATTAGACTCCCATATGGCTGACTGTGGTTTGAGTCCTGGAACTGGCAGCTTGCTTTCAAACTCTCTCTCCCTCTCCTTCTCTGGTCAAATTAAAAATACATACATACATACATACATAAGTTTTTTTTTTTTTTTAATGTTAAAATATAGAGCTAGCACGTAGTGTAGTGACTAAGGTGTTGAACTCTCACATGGTTGACTATCGTTCGAGTCCCGGATCCGGCAGCTTAAAACTTATGCCAGGCACTTGTGTGTACATACCCAAAATGAGGAGAATAGAGAAAGGATTGCAGTGTGGCTATCCCCCTAGGGGGTGATTTCTTGTTTTCTGTTTCTCTGTGTC